GTCTTTTTCTCCATGGAGTTATCTCCTTGAGGAAGAATGCGGCCCTCTCTGGGGAGACACAATGTTAGAGATAATAAACATTGTCTTTTCTTCTTACAGTTGAAGTTTCTAGAACTCACATGCTTTCTGGCTTCATCAAGCTTGTCTTGGGAGATGAAGCAGACACCCCTTGCCATGTGCTCAAAGTTGTTTTTTCCAAGTTTTTAAAATTCTTTTTCTTTCAAAAAGTAAGAGATTGAGAAGACAGAGAAAGAAAGGAAAAACAGCATTCCCACCAAATTGCAAAACATCGGTGAGTGAGTGGACCACACGCGTTTAATCAAGAACTTAGAGAGTCTGAGATTTTTCTGTATTTGAAGGTTAGCAAGTTGGCCTACCATAGTGGATGCTGGTGGAAGACACGAGACTCCTGAGTCAGAGACTAGGATGTTATTACTCACAGCAATCAGTATGAGTGCCATGTTCACATCTGTTCCCCTGTCCCCCAGGCCCATTGGTGAGGCAGAGAAGTCCAGGTGGACACTGTGCATGCAGTGGGCTTGGGTCATAGCTGGGCATCAACTCCCAGCTTAGGAAGCCACAAACTTTTTTTTCCCATTCAACGAATATTTATAGAATGCCTAGTCTGCATCAGGCACTGTTCTAGGAACTGGTGACGCCCATTGGTGAGGCAGAGAAGTCCAGGTGGACACTGTGCATGCAGTGGGCTTGGGTCATAGTTGGGCATCAACTGCCAGCTTAGAAAGCCACAAACTTTTTTTTCCCATTCAACGAATATTTATAGAATGCCTAGTCTGCATCAGGCACTGTTCTAGGAACTGGTGAAACCAGTAAACAAAACAAAGAATCCTGTCCTTATGGAGCCGATGTTCTAGTGAGGGAAGACAGATAATAAACAAACATTACAAATAAGTAAATTATAACATTTAATATTAAATCATTAATTATATTAAATTATTATTACAACAATAACTGAATAAGTAAATGATATATTAAGAAGATAATAAAGGTACGGACAAAGAGCTAGAGCAGGCATAGGGGAGCAGAAATGCTGGGGGTGGATTGTGGTATTAAATAGGGCATTCAGGGAGGGTCTCACTGAGGAGATGAAACTGGACTGAAGATGGAAGGAGGCAAGGGGCCAGCCTGACAGTCAGGGGCCATCGAGTTTGTGAGCCTCGACCACCTGTGTCTAATGCCTAGAAACCCCTAAACTTTTGAAGAAGGCTGCTAGCAAACCTGCCCGAACTTTGCCTAAGAGGAGGACACTGTTTTTATTTTCCTGATCAGCAAATACATCTACTTTTCATCCAGCAGGGAGACACAATCTCTGTCTTCTGAGGATATTTGCTATACACACATCCTTGAAAATGCAGTGCAATGTAGGTGCCATCAGAGCCTCTGTTGAGAAGACTGTGCAAATGCAGGGGACCCAGGGGCTGTCCCTGAGGGTTATTCCCACTCCCATGACTGATGGCTCTTAGGTAACCCAAGCTAGGCTGAGGACCCTCCAGTCTTTAGTCCCAGCTCACTGGGGGGAGAGGGGCTCAGCCAGGGTCCTGTCCATAGTTGCCACCTGACCCTGCTATACCTCTGGCTCATCAGGGTCATTCTTTAGGCTACTCAAGGGCTCTGCCACCACAAGTCTGCTCCTAAAGCAAATAAACATACAACAGCAAACGGACACGGCTTTTACACAGGTCTGAAGATTCCTTCTTGATTAAAGCCCTCATTAGGTATCCTGACAGCTTGGTTTCCAGGATCTGCAGAAAACCTTTCACTCCAGCCTCACTCCTAGGACCCTATGTTGGATGTGTCATCTTGGACCTATGGTGGAGAAGCATCGTGCAGTTCAGGAGTCCTGGATGCTAAATTGTTGATATTTAGTCTTTCCAGGTCCTCTCAGAGAGCTGAGATGCTCTCTGGGCCACATTCTTTAGAATGTTAAAAGGGTATTTTTAAATATGAGCATACAGTTAGGTTCCTTTAAACTTTTTGAGGGTAGGTGGTCTGTCACAAACTAGTTCTTAGACTTCCAGTCTTATGCTGGTCCCTGATTGTGCAGCATTGCTGGAAACTTCCAGAGCTTCTCTGGAAGGCCTCAGTTGTTTTCTTAAAAACTGCACAAAACTTTTGGCATACCAGTGGTTTAGGGATCATGGAACCAAGTCAGAGGGACCTTAACTGAGCAGTGATCTACCACTTATTGTAAGAGCAATTTAAGCAACAGTGTGTTTTCTGTGTCCTAAGATAATTCAAGCGTCTTGATAGCAAGGGTCCAAAGATGATGGATGGGATTAGGGCTTATCCAGTCTAGCTCATGAGCAGCTCCATGTCACCCTACTGTCCCATCTCATCCCACCTCAACTTTTCCACCCTCATCTTTTGGTCATGGTGGACATAGATGCAAGTGATCGGGAAGATGCATGAATTAAGTGGAAGCACCAGCACTCCTGGAGACGGACTGAGCGCTGAGGCTGTGTGGCTTCCTGGGTAGATATTAAGGGAAGACCTTGCTCACTTCAGGGAGGCGGGCATTTTTCAGGCTTCTAGCCAGACAGACGCCAAGCAGAAAACCCAGTCCCCTGACCAATAGCTATTGTCCATCTACCCAGTAGCTAGTGGCCAGAGGATCAAGAATTTATCTGAGTTTCAGCATTCTAAGAGTAATGTGTTTGCAGACTTAGGTTAATAGAATGACCTCCCCTAGACAAATCAGATTAGAGACAGGCAGGGTCCTCAGAAAAATGAATTATTATTACTCTCAGAAATGATCTCTTTAGTATACAGTCCCCTTTAATCTATAGCTCTGGACCCCTTTGTAGACAGCAATGTTAGGCCCCTATCTGAGAGGTAAGGAGGTAAGCTTTTTGATACAGTGCTTGCATGCTGAACTCACTTTAACTAGTATTTTTAAGGCAGAAGTTTTGAAAGCAATCCATTCCAGAGGCAGACATGATGTAGAATTTTTTATTTTGAACAGCTTGAGAGGAAAATTTTTTTAAAAAGATAAACTTCTAAGTTTGGGGAATATAAAAGTTTTAGATGGATGAAAGATAAAGCTTTAATTTTTTCCCCCCAGAAAGTAGCATTTCATATCTTTTCCATAAAAAAGCAGTCTGTGAGGATGCAGACAATAAGCTGTCAGGATGGATTAAATTCTGTAACCAGGGCAAGAAATAAAGCACACCTCACACTCATGGAGGTGCCTCATGCTGGAGGCTTGACATGGTCCTGGCCCATTGTGCAAGAGCTCTGCGTCAGTCCAAGCAGGCACGTGGGCCTGCCTGGAATATAAATGGAAGGAAGAAAGGATGAGAGAGAAGAAAGGAAGAAAAGAAATTCCCAGGTGTGTGCTGAGGTGGCAATAACTGGCCCCAGTCTATGCTGGTGCCTGAACGGGGCCTGCAGAGAACATTAAAGGAGAGGGTGGCACAGGGCACCTGTGCAGTCTGTTACCGGGAGACTGAGCAGCCACAAGCATCTGATCAAGTTTTCTGGTCAATGCCAAAACTCTGACACGGAGACTTGGTCACCTTTACCTTTTAGGGAAGTGACCCTGGCATGGGAGTTGGTGTCGTGGGACGATTACATGCTCTTAGGAAAGTGCTCTGCATAAGGGACATGGACTGAGGGAGGCAGTTCTAGCTATCCATGAGTAAGTCCTCCGTTAATATGAGCCACAGGGTAAACAATTTAAACTGAGAGGAAGGGAAATTAAAACTTAGATTTCAGAGGAATATCACTTACTATTGACTAGCTTTCCTCTGTGTACAGAGGAGTGGATTGGAGGCGCCATACGTTAAAATGGTCTATTGCAAATTTAGATACCAGTCATAGTGGAGATAGAGCAGGTCAGAGGTAGGACCCATGGCTCTATTCCTTTTTCATGTAAGCGAGGGCTAAATGTGGGACTCTAGAGCAGAGCAGGCCTGCAAACTTTTCCTGTAAAGGGCTAGACAGTCAATATTTTAGGTGTCCAGGCCATCCTGTCTCTCTTACAATTACTCATCTCCACGATGTGGCGTGGAAGTAGTCATAGAAAATAGCAAATAGTGCATGTGGTTCCAGTAAAACTTTATTTACCCAAACAACAGTGGGATAGATTCAGCCTGCGGGCCATAGTCTGCTGATCCCTGATCTACCTAGAGGGCTAGTTGCCGTGGGCAGGAGCAGAGCCTTGCAGGGTCTCAGAACACCAGCCTGAGAGCGGGAGCTGCGCCTTGCCTGCTTTTCCCAGCTACACCTGAGGAGTTCACAGTGTTAGTATCTTCTCTGGTTTATTACACTGGGTTCTGAGTCCAGTCCTGGTGTTGGCAAACACAAGCATCAGGAGGAGGGAGGACCAAGCCAT